ACACCTTCCACTAGACCAGGTTGCTCAAAGCCTCATCCAACCTGGCCTTGAACACTTCCAGGGAGGAGCGGCCACAGCGTCTCTGAGCAACCTGGGCCAGTGTCTCACCACCCTCACACCAAAGAATTTCTTCCTCCCATCTTCTCTCCATCTCCCCTCTGCCAGTTTCAAGCCATCACCCCTTGTCCTGTCACTCTCACCCTGCCCTTCTCCAAAGTCCCTCCCCAGCCTTCCTGGAGCCCCTTCAGGCCCTAGAAGGTCTCCCCTTGTAGATGTAACTCCTAGGGACATGTTTTAATTATGGGTGTGCAGTTGAACTGAATGATCTTAAGGGTCTTTTCCAACCACCAAGAGCTGAGGATGAGAGGCACCTAGCCCTCCAGGTTGAGGAGATCTCCCATGAGGGAACAGAAGCACAAGAGAATTGGGGTTTTTTTGCTGCAACGTGTTTATTATGTGCCAAAAACTACACCACAGCTTACTCCACGCGTCTGTAGGAGAGTGCAGTCTTGCCTGCATATACTACAATGAGGTAGAGACTTCACACACAGCTTCACAAAAACCCCACAAAGAGCAGCTGGGATATGCAACAATGCAACATCAGCTCAGCAGGAGGAAAAAAAAATAAAAAAGGGAGAAATTATGACACTGGTTCTTTGGCACACAGCTTCCAATAGAGGGGAAAGTAAAAAAAAATCAAAATAATAATAATTAATAATAATTAAAGTTCTCAAATCCCAGCAGCAGCATTTCAGTCGACTGCACTATTACTCCGCACGTTTCGGCAAGGAAAGGAAAATTACTTGTCCCCTCTAAGAGAAAGGGCTCCTCTGAACCTTCATCTGTCCACCGAAACGCAGCCCTTTTTGTAGCTAGTTACAAAAAGAAAAGTCAAGTCCCGTGACTTTGTGTGATTAAAAACCTCTATCAACCCCCCTTAAGTGCAACTTAAAAAAGTGCAACAAACTATTTTAAAACTATATACAGCAGCTCAGAGATCCTTTATCCGGTCCAGTTTCAAATCAAAAAAAAAAATATATAGCTCGTCCTGTTCCGTTGCAAACCCCCCTCAGATTTACAACTTCCCACCAGCAGCCCCCAGACACAAATTGCAATAATGTTAAAAGCTGCCAGGAAAGGAAAAAAATCTCTCGTTTCAAACGACTTAAAAACTGTTTTTTAAGAGTGTAAAAAGGAACTGGTAAAAACCCTCGAGCGTAAAATATGAAATATGATTTGGTTTAAATGAAGAGCAAAAAGTCTCCTTGTTGTTACAGTAAAAAACGCCAGCTGAACATTCAGTTTATGCCGTTCAGATGGGGGTTAAATGAATGGAAAGGCACTGTATGGCAACGGCAAAAAAATGGAGCCAATGAGACCTGCATTCTCACCATCAGTATTGCAAGGAATGTAAAAAAGCGCCTTTAATAAATAAAAAACCTAGGTGAAGGCATCTGCGTAAACACCTTCTTGACACGTGGCCCTTGTTTTTATTTTTTTAATTTTTTTTTTTTTTTCTTCTCATCAGCAAACTAGGAACCAAAGTCTGGGAACTGCAGAATTCTCTTGAGGGGTGCTTCCCCCCCCCCCTCAAAAAAAACCCCCAAACAAAACCCGACAAAATTGACTGTGCATTAGTGCAGAAACAAAAAGACCAGCAAGTGCAAACGTGAATGTAAGATTGTTTTTTTGTTTTTTGTTGTTTTTTTTTCCCCGTTAGTCCTCAGGAAGCGTGTTCCCAACCTGGGTCTGGCACCAGCAGGCAATGCTCGTGCGCTCTCCACTTGGCAGGTTCACAAAAGGACTTTCTCCTGCGCCTGGGACGGCCCCCGGAGCTTCGGCGACCTCTTTAGCTGGAATCTCTGTTCTTCTGGTTGCGCATCAGCGGGCGGTGGTGACGCAGGACCTCCATGGAGTGCTGCCAGTGCCAGCAGGAGCGACAGAAGTACTTGAAGCAGATCTGTGGGGAGAGCAGAGGGGTGACGCCATGGGGCGGAAGTTTCCAGGCAGGGAAAACAGACACTGGTTCACCAGCAAAGCAGCATCCCTTCCTTCCCTCCCTGGTTTTGCAGACCACGCCAGCACAGCAGATCTTTGAAGCAGAGGGAGGATTGGGTGTTGTGCTGAGCTTCCAGGTGTCACCACTTTTTAAAAAAGATTTGGAAAACCAGGAGCTGGGCACTGGAAGCAGCCTCCTGAGGGCACTTGCTGCCAGGGGCAGCAGCCAGGCTCTGCCTGTGCTCACTGGGCTCCTGCTGTCACCTCTCCCAGCTGCTCATTTCCCACCCAGACTCCACAGGAAGCTGCTGGACCCCAGCCAAGCTCTTTCACCCACAGCAAGCAGAGGTCAGCCAGAGTCCTCTACATTTTGGGCAGCCCCAGGGTGATGGCATTCCAATTTCCAGCTCATCCTGGTTTGCAGAGCAGCAGCTCCCCCTCAGGGTGAGCATTGCCCAGTGTGGAAAGTTGCCTTTGCCTCCCAGTGAGTACCAGAGCTACCCCCCTCCTCCAAAACAAGGTCCTACTTGGGACTCTTGCATGGACACTTCAGCCTCCCCATTCTACAAGGGACAACAAGCATCTCCAGATGCTGAAGAGAAGGCAGGAAACCCTTCCAAAGCGCGGAAGCCAGGAGCCAAGTGCAGCTGGCAGGAGAAAGCCTTACTTGGTCTCTGCAGAAGAAAGGACCAGGTTGGGCGCTGCAGACTTGGCACATAGAATCCTCCAGGTACGGATCGATCTGAACCTGCGTGAGAAACAGGCAGTCAGCACGGAGCGCTGCTGGGCCTGACTGCCCATTCCCTGGGCAGCACCAACCCACCACCCTGGGTACCCCAAATCCATCAGCAGCACCCCTCAGGGCTGGCAGAGCAGCGCTTCAACACCTCCCTCTGCATCCGCAGGGATATGGGACGGGCCACGTGGGTCAGGGTGACCTCCAGCAGTACCACACATCACCCCCAGAATCAACTCCCCAGGCTGCCCCATCAGCTCCACTCACCTTTTTAGTAAACTTGGTAGTTTTGATTTCCACAAACGCAGCGGTCACTGCCTTCAGGTAACTGCGCTGGTTGTTAAAGGTGACACGGCCAGATCCTGGAACAGGCCAGAGGGCAAGTGTTAGACTGACCCGGCGCCTACAGCAGGAACTGGGAGAGCCTGAGAGGGATCTGCTGCCAGCACCACCACTTCCCCCACTCGACTCAGCCACTGGCAGGGAAGCAACTTCCACAGGGAGATGTATCCAAGGCCTGGTGGCTCTGCCTGCCTCCATCCCCAGGTGGGAACAGAACAGCTTTTCCACTGACACCTCCAGGCTGGGCAAGATGTGAGCTTACGAGCAGCAGCGCTCCCAGGAGGACTGGCAGCAGCTGGGCAGCCAGAGGCAGGCTCCACGCCTGCACCTGAAATAAGCTGGTGCTGACACAGCTCAGCAGCTTTTATTTTGAGCCTCCCACTCATCCTGGAGCTTTGGATTTTACAGTTTCATTGCCAGCCAGCAGTGTTCCTGCACCACTCCTTCCAGCCACATTTTATTAAGCTTCAGAAAAATGTATCTGTGCTTACCTATGAGTTTCTTTTCTCAGTGTGAGGGTTGCTTTGGCTGTTAGGAGATGGTCCTGCACGCCAGGAGACAGCTAAAGCTCAGCTCACAGGGCAAAGTGTTACCCAGAACCCATCTACTCCTCTCCTGTGCCATCACACATGCTGGAGGGCCTGGATGTGGCCTGGGATAACACTGTGTACAGGGAATCCTTCTTCTTCCAAGAGGGTCAATTCTATCTCCTACTGGGACCTCAAAAAGCCACCTGGGCAAAAGCTCTGTTGACCCAGATGAGCTGCCTTTGAGAGCAGCCCCTCATAACTACAGTCAGACACAGATTTCTCAAACCACACGCCTCTACCCGAGTCGATTTGGCACAAGGCAGGTTACACGCAGTGGTCATCCCTTGAGGAGCCTTCTGCCAAGCCGGGGCAGCAGTCAAGCAAGCCCCTGGTTGTACCCAATCTCAGCACAGGAGATGCTTCAATCAACACTACACAAAATTAGGGGACAGTTTAGTTACCAAAACTGAGTTCACACTGCTGAAACTCTACAGTGACTTCAAGGGTGGAAGTGTCAGTCTGCTGTTGGGAGCTGAAGACCTCACCTACTTGAGGGAGCGACCTGGGCTCTGCATGAAGCCACAGTTTTAGGACCTCGCAGTGCCTCACGGGGCAGTTTGGTGTGCAAGGCTTCATCCACCATCAAACAAACTAGGAATTCATTTAAAGTCTCATACTTCCATTTGCCATCCCTTGGGACTGTCCCCTCAAAGCTACTTCAGTGGTAAAGCATTGCAGCACCATGGTCCTAAACCCAGGCCTGGGGCACTAAGCCTTGACTAGAAAAGCCTGAAAGCTGTCCAAGGACAGTGACAAGCAGACAGCTCTGCAACACCAAACTCTGACATTGGTCCTGCTTGGCAGCACGCAGGAGATTCACAACTTACTGCAGCCTGAGCTTGGAAAGCCGGACCTCAGGCTGTAGGGTTTTTCCACACAAACCAGTAACCTCTGCCCCATGAGGCCACCAAGGAGGTACATGGGACACTGGTGACATGTTTCAGCTCCTGTGACACAAGTGGCAAGTGTCTCAGCAGGGCACACGGACAGGGTTGCTCTCCGGGGTACCACAGGGGCTGCAGAGCTCATGGCAGCAACTGAGCACCAGAGTCGCTGCATCCAGTGGTTTGTGGTTTCAGCCCCATCAGAGGAGGAGGAGAGCACTGTTCAAGAGCCACACACATCCCCAGTAACCCCCAGGAGATCCAGTCAGGAGGCTACTGGCTGCCTTGGAAGCCCAAAGAGCACCCTGGAAGGGATCTAAGCAGGACAGCAGGGACAGGATGCTGCCCATAAGTGTGGGTTCAACAGAGCTGCCCATAGCCCTGCCCCTGCTGCCCAACCACTGGCACCTCCCCAGCAGGAAGGGCCAGCAGGTCCCAGTTTGCCCTGATGGGTAAGACACACAAGGGGTAGAACCTGGGTAAGACCCATAGCCATCTGCTCTGGGGACTGACGAGCAGTTCAAGTAGCATCTAATGACCATTCACAGCACTGAACAAGGGTAGAAAACCCTTCAGCAAGGGTTTTTTTATGCCTAAAGAGATATTAAGAACCTCAAGCTGCTCCAGAATGATCTAGGACATCCCTCCCCTGGGCAGTCCTCCCACTGTGGGACCAAGAGACACTCCTGCAGTTACTGATCCTGGTGGGATCACCACTTACCAATGGGATACTTGTGCTTGTCTGTGTCAATGCCAGCATAGACCACCCCTCCAAACAGGTCATACATGACAGCTGCCAGGGCTTCTGCATTCAGCATCCCGTGCAGAGCCCCCACGAACACCGTCTTGCTGGGATCGAGCCGCTGCGATGGACTACGCACAAAGTTGCTGTCTGCCAGCACCCATGGGATCACCTGCACCTGAACACACACACAAACAGGCTGGGTTGGCCAAGGGTCTGCAAAGCCACAGGCTGTGCTGCTCTACAGTGCCCTCAGCTGACAGCAGAAGTCATCCCAGACCCTCAAATTTCATCCTCAATTTGCAAATGTCCCTTTGCTATTGTTGCTCGGGGTCTGCATCCAGGGTACTACAGCTCTGGAGCTCCAGACACCTCAGGAGAGCCCACAATGCCTGTTCAAGGAAATAAAAACAGCCACACTGCTCTGCTTCCAGCCAAACTGGAATCCAAAACACTGGTCCCTCTTGGAAACAATCCGTGCACGAGTGGATTTCACTGCCTGCACCTACATTTACAGCCCCATCAGATGCCTCCCTGCACTGAAGAACATTGTTGGAGATCAGTGAAAAAACCCACCCACTGCCAATTTCAACAGGAGCTTCCATCTGATATAGAGCTCCAAAGAGGAGAAACTTCTGCCAGAGCTAAATCACCAAGTGCTGCCAACAGCCAGACAATGGGAGAGCTGGTGGGAGTGCAGTTAGCTTGCGCCTGTCTAGAGAAGAGACAGATCTCAGTTCCTTTACTCTAAACTCATGTGGTTGTACCCAATCTACAGCTAAGGTCCCCCTTTATTGGAAGGCCAACCTGAACCTCTGGCAGCCTCAGCACCTCCAGAGCACAGGTCAGCCAGCCCAGGCAGGGGAGCAGCTGCAGTTACAGCTGTGGATCCAAAATATCTGCTTGCGGTGAGCATGAAAATCATTCTTTCTGCAAGCAGATGAGGTCTAATAAAGCACCAAAGGGATCAAAGTCCATCTCCGCAAGCAAAGGTGCGCTGAACAGAGCATGAAATAGCAAAATCCCTGTTCCTGTGCTCCTTTCCAGGTAACCAAAGCTGCTCAGCTTCAGGAAGTCAGGGTCTGCGACAGATCCAGGAGCTCCAGGTCATAATTCCTGACACAAGCTATTGTGACGGGCACAAACAATGACCTGACTCTTCCCTCCTTGCCTTCATGCATCCCTGCTGCAGGAACACATCCGTTAAAGATGGCCCAGAGCCAGTTTGGATTCTGCTGCTCTGTTCTAGCCCAGCTTTCCTGGAGCAAAGCAACACTGTGCACTCTCTTGTCCCCAAGGATCTCATCAGCATCTCCTGCTGTCATCCGTAGGGCTACTCTCATGGGCCTGCTCACCTCTTTGCAGCGCATCCTGCGGCTGGACATCTTGAAGTAATATTCACTGAGCCCGTCAGGACTCAGCAGGTCCTGGGAGCATGCCTGGAGCAGAGCACGCACAGATTTCTCTGACTCAAACACCAGGTAGACATATCCTTTAGAGGAAAAGGGAAAGAAACAGTTGTTAGAACCGTAGCAGAGGAGAAACGGATCATCTCAATTTGCAGATGCCCTCAAAAAAATCACTCAGGTCCAACCCAAAGTATCTGCACTTGCTGCCCCCAACCCCTTCCAGGGGACAGCAGTGATTTGCAGCACCTGCCCCACAGCAGACACTAGATCTGAGATCCACAGAGCCTGGCCAAGCTGGGAAAGAGCCTAAAATCAGCATGGCACAAGGGGATGGGCTGCCCAGGCCCAGTGCCATTTGGGTCACTGTCCCCCACACACACAGCCACATCTAGATGTGACAAATGGCACCACCAGCCTGGCCACAGTGTGGTCTGCAGAAAAACAGACTTTGCTTCACATTTGAGATGTCTTGGCCCAGGAATAGAAGCTCAGGGTTTTAAAATCACTTCCATCAGCACAGCACTTTGTACCTCGCGTTGTTCTGGTGACTGAGGCACCACTGAGCCTACCAACGAGTCACTTCTTACACCAGAACTTGTTCCTGCTCACACTACACATCGGCCCAGCTACTTCAGACAGGATGATGCTCACCAGTCCCCACAGCCTGCCAGCTCGCTGCAGATGCACGTTCAGCATCACCACGTGCGCTTTACGCTGGGGCGTGCGTGCTTTGGGTGCCTGCACTGGCGGTGGGGACTAGCAGCTATTGTCAAGAGCGCCTCAGCCCTACACCGGGCTCCAGAAGCACCAGAGAAGGTTTCCCCCACCCCACACAGGTGGGGACACCAGGTTAGAGGTGACAGTGCTCCGCAGCCCTGGTGATGACCCAAGTGAGAGCAGGACATTTACCCTAGGGTGCTCTGTACCATCCAGTCACCAGCATGCAGCCGTACCATCCCAGCATCCGTGCTGTAACATAGCATGGGGAAAAAAGTAACCCTACCGTGTCGCTATTACCTTTAGGCATATTACCTTTGGGAGGGCAGCGTGGGTGTTTGCCATCCTTACCAGGCCACTCCACACTCAGTGAGCCAAAAACACGGAAGGTGTTGATCAGTCCAGCTATGGATAAAAGGAGAGAAGTCAGTGTTCCCACAAAAAACTGTCCTACGCCCTCCTGATGTTAAAACCCAAGGGCTCACCTTCCGTTATGTCCCACGGGACTCCTCCCAGGAATACTTTGCAGGAGTAAACGGGGTTCTTATAGTTTCGGGGAGGCAGCTGCCCACTCCAGGTGCAGGTTGCTTCATTCACAGCTTGAACAAACACAAATACCACTCAGTACAAGACCAACCACATGAATCTGAACAAGGGCAAGTGCTGGATCTTGCACCTGG